TTTGGCTTCATGAACAGGAACAAGATGTCTTAATCAACGGGAAACAGCTTGTAACAGGATTTAATTAAAGTGTAACAAGAATAGGTTGTAAGTACAACGCAATCTACTAGGGCCAAGACCCCTGGCTAATGCAGAAACATGACAGAAAGGAGGCCTCACACGGTGATAGAAAAGATGGCTTTTATCTGAGGATCAAGTAGGCTAATCAGTGCAGGTAGTTGAAGACAATGGAAAACAGCCATTTCTTCATTGCATTGATATATTGACATTATTTTATTGCATATCTACTCAATTCATTTTAATTTTAGGAAAAAAGATTTCAGCATCTGGAGACTAAGTCTCTTCTGTTATTTCTTTTGGTTTTCTTTCTTTGTCTGCCATTTTGTCTCATCTGACACAAGCTGATGGTCCTATGAGAAGGAGATGTTATCTTAGATTGTATCTGTGTCTGGCTCAGAAGAGTTAAGTTACCACATAGCAAGGCAAACTGGAGAAACCAACAGCAAGTTGTATTTTTCCTCTGGCTGCCTCAAATCTGCAGCAGAGATTGGCTTAAATACACTCAGGTACAATTTTTGCAGGATCTACTTATGATTGTAGGACCTTGTGCTTTGGCACCTATTGAAATAACATTTTCTCCACATAGTTTCTTTTCTCATAAGTTTGTATCAAGGAAAAAAATCAATAAATGTTGCAATTCCAAATATTTATTAAATTTATTCAGAAATTTTACCACCCACTAACCCCCAACAGGCTTCTTGATTATAAACTTCCACTTGTCTTTTTTGGAGTCAGATTTGAGTTAACTCCCCAATTTCAAAACTAGCCTTCTCTGTCATCATAGTCTAATTTGAATGAAGCCTGTCTCATCAAGTTAAATAAATTTCATGAATACAATTTGATTAACCTCTCCTCTTAACTCTTTTCCTTTTCTTTTGATCAGGGGAACAGTTAAGCTTTTGATGACATGTAAATACATCTGTCACTGAACTAAAGAGTAACATTCAGTGTTAGCCTATTGTTATTGATCTAGATACGATGGTTTAAAATTTAACTCTTGTAGCTGTTTCTGAAATGCTGTTAAAGTATGATAACAGCAATCTTTGATTCCTGTCTTAAGGAAATTCAAAGTTTATCAATATAGGTAAATATTTGTGCACATTAGATGAACATTTTAGTCCAAAATATAGATCAAACAGTAAGGGCTGATTAAGCACCATTTGTATAAAAATGTACACATTCGTTGTCTAATAATATACCAATAATGAAACTCAGCTATGTTTCCTTTATTATAGTGTGCAATTATCATAGCTATTCACAATTATTTGTAGTTTAAATAACTGAGATAAATACTGTAATTGTGTAGGTTTTATTTCTTTACTATTTAAGAAACAATTTTACTTCCAGAGTTGCAAAGTTTCAAATTACCATTATTTATTGTTTTAATTTTATTGTTTTCTGTTTCATTTTTAGATTCAGAGAAGGCTATTAAATTATTTCATTATAACATAGGGCCGTATTGCTTACTATTTAAGCTATCAATCAAAAATCTTTACCCAAGGCCAGATTTTTTTTCAGCTTGTAGCCTTATTATTAATATTTAAATGCCATGTTTCTGAAACCAGAGGTTTAGGCCACAGGCCCAAACTCTAGAAGCCTGGCCACTACCACCTCTCCACAAGCTAAATAAAGAAGCATGATGAAAGTAGAGAAAGATTTATGATGTTAAGACACTTAAGGCCATGTTTAGCTATCTTTGGGGTACAGACATGACTTTTAGGTTTAAACAGAGAATTGAGATCAAGAAGATACATGTGTGCATAATGCATAAACAGTCTCAGTTCCAGTTTGTGGCCTGGTTGACCATTATCTCAGTCTTCATTTTCCTGAGATTCCAAAGAGATTTGTCCAAAGTTGTAATTACATCATTAGAGGGAACAAGTCACTGCTGTCTGTCAAATGATCCATCCCGAGCTTTGAGCTGTGCTCCTGCTTTGCGAGAAAGTTTTGTCTTTTGTCGCAAGATGCTTATCCATAAATCTTGTCCTTCCTGGTGTCCCAAGGTGATTGTTGGAGAAAGACTCAGGATGGAATCACAGACAAAAAAAAAAAAATGGAGGCAAGGATGTCTAGCTTTTTTCCTGCTTTGAGTTAATTTGTGGGCACAAGGAAGTAGTCAGTGTTTCTGAGCAAAAGCCATTTAAGTATCACTTACATCTTCTTCCTTTGTGTAGTTTCTGGTGTTATCTTTTTCTAAATCACTACATTTTTTACAAAGTGCTTTTTATGGCACTTTTTATGACATACACAAACTTCAGACACAAACTTTGTTTTCCTAAGTCTTAAAAAATGTTATGAACCTAAAAGATAATATATATGTATATTTCAAAAAAACAAGAAATTATATATAAGAAAAGGCACCTGCATTAGAGAAAAGGCAGAGAATTTTAAGGATGAAGCAGAGTGCTCCATGGCATTAGAAGAAAAGCAGTGGTCTCTGTAAGACATATCCAAGAAAAGAAAATACCATAGTGGGATATATCCAAGAAAGAAAGCAAGGGATAGCCTGATGTGCTAGGCATTGTTGAAAATTATGTGGAGAAATTATTTGAAAGAAATGGGAAGAATTAATAACACGTACAAATAAAATCAAGCAAAGGGAATTTTTTCACTAAACTGTAACACTGGATTACAGAGCACCATTTCATAGTTCTAATGCCATAGACAGTGAATACTAATGTAACACAAAAATATTGATTGGTGGTGGGAAAGTATATCTGAAGTGCTGATAATATTTGCAAGATCTACAACCATATTTTTTTAAAAGAGCATTAAAATGTTTTATTAACCTCCTGAGTATTTCAGTAAAATCTCAGACATTAGCAAAACAGTGGTCTTTTGATCAGGAAATAACATAATGAAGATTACCGTGTGACAGTAGGTAAAGTAATTTATCTATTTATAGCAGCCTGTCTTGGAAACCAGCAACACAACCTTTAATAAACCTTCAATTCTCTGCTGTGAATAAGTCTTCCATCTTCCAACTGTGAATGTTTAAGCTCATGATGTAATACTAACTATGAACCAATGAGAAAGAGGAATACGAAGTTTTCATGGTCCCAGGCTGTATGGAGAAACAAAAGGTATTCATTTGAACTATGACAGTTCCAATTTCCTTTTTCTTTTTTGGTTCTGCCTCCAAATTTGCCTTCGTGTACAGTTCGCTAAAGCCCTGGCTCAGAGAAGAAGGCCCAGAAGCTATGTTTAGCAATCCCCAGTAACTCATCTATTTTAAATGTCGTGCATAATAATGTCTTCTAGTTACAGAAAAAAATATAATAAAACAATGGCAGACATGCCATGGAGTGTAAGATGTAAATTCTGGACTGTTCGGTGGTTCCTACCAGAGCAGATCTGGCCCTTATTGGCGCGTGCAAGCCGAGCACACACACACACACACACACACACGCACACACACGCATGCATGCAAGCATGCAAGCATGCATGACCTCTCCTTTTTCCTTCCCTTTGCAAAGTGAGAGACTAGACACGTTCACGTGACGACAGTGACGTCAGCCCCCCACTGGGTCGCGTGACGGACACTCAACTTTCTACTCTCCCCGCCCCCTCGGGGCCGGGATCTCGCGAGATCTCACTTACTATCAGAACTTGGGAGGCTGGCGGGGAGTCGCGCGCTCCGCGGGGCCGGGAGGGAAGGCGTGGCCCGGGCCGGAGTTCGTCCGCATGCCCCCCACCCCCGGAGGTTCCTAGGCCCGGTCTGGCCGGGCCTTCGGGGGTGGCCCGAGTCTGATAAACTCCTGGGGAATCGGCCGGGGCGGGGTGGCACGGTCAAATCCAAATGGAAACGTGGCGCCGGCCCCGGGCTGCCCGGGCCCTCGGGGTGCGGACCCCAGCCCAGGCCCGCCCCCCCCTCCAGTCGCTTCCCCGGGCTGTGGCGCGTGGGGACCCGTGTTTGGAAGCCGAGGACCGTCCACATCCGGCTCAGCGCCGAGTGGCGTCTGTCCCGGCGGTGGCGTCCCCCTGCCAGGCTGCTCCGGGGACCGTGGCCCGGAGCTGGCTCCCGGGTGGGGCGTGGGTCCCGGTTCCCGCCCCACCCCGCGGCTGCTCATCCACGCGCGGCCCTGCTCGGCCAGCCGCGGGTGTGAGCGGTGTGTGGGGCGCCGTGGGTGATGTGGACACCTCGCGTCATTCACCTGGAGGCCCCCCGAGCTTCTCCCCGCGTCCCCAGACGGGTGGCGGGCGCTGGGGACCGAGGGAGGGAGCGCCGCGGGGCGCTAGGGGGAGGTGTGGGGCCGGCGGCAGGGAGGGGGCTTGGGCAGGGAGGGGTGCTCGCTGGCTGGAGGGAGGACGGAGGGAGGGGAGGGAGGGAGGAGGCGCCGAGGGCGGAGACGCAGCCCTGCGGACCCTAGCGCCCGAGCCCAGCGCTCTTTCGCTCGCCCGCGCCGCCGTCTCCCAGCTTTTGCGGGCCATCGCGGGGAGCCCGAGGCCGCGGTGGTGCGGGGGACCCCCCGCTAGCGCCACCCCGCGGGAGGGAGCCTCCTCCTCCCCGCCCTCCCACCCCCGATCCCGGGTGCGCGCGCTCCACCGAGTGCGGCGCGCCCCGCGCTAGGCGCCCCGCGCCTGCCTGACAGCTGCAGTTGGGCTGGGGCTGTGCGCCCGGCTCCGCTCCACCCGGCTCCGCTCCGGCCGCGGCCTCGGCCCCTCCGCCCTCCTGTCCCCGCCTCCGCCCCGATCGGACGCCTTCCCCTCCACCCTTCACCCCTCCTGCCCCGGGTGCCGAGATCGTTTCGCAACCGTGCGCTCGGTGCCACCCCTCATTTTCCCTGTTTCCTTCTCCCCCCCACCCCACCCCACATTTGGGGAGAGGGTCTGGAAACGGAAGCTTTGGCTAAGCCGACTGGAAGAGGATCGGCGGAGCGTGGGGACGCCCAGGAGGAACCCCACGCCACCACCACCCCCCCTTTCTGGTCAGCTCTCCTTTCCCGCCCCGCCCCTACACGCACTCCTTCGCCGCGGACCAGCTACTTTCTCGGACGGACGAGGAAAGTGAGGGCGGCCCTGGTGACAGCGCCGCGGGGCCAGTCCCGGGGAAGCCGCGCGCCGGATAGCCTCGCGTTCTTCGCGCTCCCGGCCAGGGCACAGCCCGAACCCGAGCCAGGATGGCTTCCACCACCACCTGCACCAGGTTCACCGACGAGTATCAGCTCTTCGAGGAGCTCGGAAAGTAAGCGCCTGTGCGGGGGCATCTCAGCTCCCCTTCCCCACAGCGGAGGGAGGGCGGGTCAGGAGGTTCCGCCCCAGCCCCCTCTCCGGACCCCGCGACCTCCATCTGGCCGGGGGCCGGAGGGAGTTCCGGAGACGGGAAGGACGGGGATCCCTGACTCGTGTGTCTGGGGAAGATGCGGTGTCAGGGGAGGGGACCTAGTCAGGGAGCCCCCCACACACACCTTCACCCCATCATTGATGCATCCCTGTCATTCCGGAGACTTAGAGAGGGAGACAGAATTTACGATCTCTGCAGTTGTAGCTGTCACCAGGATAAGTGTATGTGTGTGTGCGCGCGTGTGCGCGCGTGTGCGCGCGCTTGCATGTGGAGAGGAAGCTAGAACCCGGGTCGAATGCCACATTTCCCCCGTTTTCCATAAATAGATGTCTCCCGGTTCGCCGGCCAGTGTCGGTCGGTGACCTGACCCCCCCCCACCCCGCACCCCAATCCCGGATGAGGGAGCACTGGGCTGTCACAGGCGGTGCCATGTTTATGGATGCCGAAAGTTGAACTTGGCCATAGTGCACAATCTTGTTTCGCATCCAGTAGTTAGTTGTTCTGTCCAGGAAAGAAAAGGAAAAAAAAAAAAAAAAAAAAAGGTCACCCGACCAAACCCAAATCTCCTGCTCTGCTCTTCCATTCTCCTCCTTTGCGCTCGATTCCCCCGTTCACTATTCCGCCTGGGATTTCCGAGATAGGCATCTTTGCTTTCTCCAGGCGGATTTATTTATACAGGCAACGGAAAACCCCTCTGGAGACAGGCAGAGCGCTTCCCGAGGGGTTTAGCCTAGCACAGGACCAAAACGACTTCCTACACTCAAGTGACAAAACTCCCCGGGAGATGACAGGGCAGGGGACAGCATGTCCACGGAGGACCCGCGCCGCGGACACGGATTTATGTAGTATCCTACTCAAGTCCAGTTGCTAATTATTGCTAGTTTTGCCTGTGCTGTTGTTTTATGCAGGTAGATGAAGGGAGATGTAAATGGTTTGTTTTAATGTAATAAACATTGCCTCTTTCTATATTGTCTGCTGTTAAAAATGGACAGTATGTCGGAAGAGCTGCTGAATTCAAACCTCTCCCCTCGCCCAGACCCAAACAGGGCAGAGACACATCACCATCCCAGGATTTGTTAAACCACATCAGTACACTGGAGAAATATATATATATATATATATTATAATGTACATATTATATTATATGTGGGAAAACAATCTCCATTTTCCCTTAGGATTGGCGCCACCTTAATTATATTTCTCTACCAAAATACATAGGCACCAGATTCTTTATTTCCTCTTTCTTTCCTTCCTTCCTTTCTTTCTTTCCTTCCTTCCTTCCTTCCTTCCTTCCTTCCTTCCTTCCTTCCTTTCTTTCTTTCTTTCTTTCTTTCTTTCTTTCTTTCTTTCTTTCTTTCTTTCTTTCTTTCTTTCTTTCTTTCTCTCTCTCTCTCTCTCTTTTTCTCTCTTTTTTCTCTTTCTTTTCTTGCTCTTCCTCAGTTCTGCTTTTTACAGGTTCCCCCCCCTCCCCCAGAGCATTTGGTGCTGTGTGAGTGTGAATTGTAAAAGTGTTTTCAAATTCCATGTGCAAGCACAAATGATCATAGTTGGCAGTTCCTTTCATTTTTGTTGACTAATAATTGTTTCCAGTTAAATAAAAAAATTTATTCCCCAGTATTAAAGAATAAAAAAAAATGGTCTGATTTCTAGGAAAAGTAGCTTTTTTAATATGACTTTTCTGAGATTTGACAGTTTTGTAAATTTCAATAAAAACTACCTGTCATTTTATTGATGACCTATTATTTATTGATTTTCAGGGGGGCTTTCTCGGTGGTACGAAGATGTATGAAAATTCCTACTGGACAGGAGTATGCAGCCAAAATTATCAACACCAAAAAGCTTTCTGCTAGGGGTGGGTATTTTCAACCGTATGTTTCTTGATTTTGTATTTGTCATGTTCATTGTTGGTTCTCTTGTAAGTGAATATGTAGTCATAATTGAATTTTAGGCTTAGGTATCCTAGGAAATATAGACATTTTTTCCTTCCTGAGTACCTCTTCTGTGTGCAGCTTAAAAAGAAATGAACATATATGTACAATTATTTCATAAATAATTAAAATTCTAGCTGTCTTATGAGCAGTAACATAAGGAACTGTTTTGTAAAGCAAAGGATTGTCACAAAGTACATTTTGCTTTTAGCTCTACTGTAAAATAACTTTGAGAAGGATCCTTAAATGGAGAATTGTTAGTCTCACAACTCTCACAATTCCCCTTTTGCTTTTGAGAGGGGAAAAAAATAGGTCATAGCTCAGTTGAATCATATATTCCAATTGTAGTTACACTTGAACTTAATTTATCAAGGTATATTTAACAGCCATGGTTGGGGAGGAGAATTAATGTTACTATCTTCTAGGAAGTGAAGCTTGATTTGGTATTTCTGGGTGCAGTTTAGACCTTTACTTGATTTTCAGCATGAAAGCTGTGTAATGTATTTTACACATGCAGTTTCTAGCCACTGAGATAACTCATAGTCATAAAATAGCTGTTGACATAAACCAAAAAAACCCTTCTGACTGTATTCATTCTATTTTGTTGAACTCATGTAAAAGCGCTTATACTAATATGGTAAGGCAATTCAGTTATTTTGGGCACGTGTCTAAAGTGTTTCCATGGGGATTTATAGTTTGATAAAATATAAAATGAACACAATACTATGGTTGATGTCCATCTCAATGACCTGGTTTATTATAAGTAAGGAGAGAAGAAATTCCATATTTATAATTTTCCTCATTGACTCTTTCTTTTAAATTATGTTTCTTATCAATGTGCTGGTATCATTGTCTTTGTTCTCTGCCATGCTTACTTTCCTGTATCTGTTGGAAATTCTACTTTTAATATGTGCTAAGGTTTAGGTGGGCATTTCCACTTAGTTGTTGCAGTGAGACTTTGTTGGGATTTCCTTCATCTGGTTGAATACAATTTGAAGGAAAATCTATATGCCAAAGTACCGAGCACCAAGGAATCATGGTGCAAAAATTTGTGAGAAGCACATTATTCTAATTCTATTCCTTCCTTAGCCTCCACTTTACAGGAAGATTTTTAACAATGAAAAGGCATTGCTACAGTACAAATGCCACTTTAGGAAGAAAAAAAAGATGGAAGAATGAAAATGTGAAAAAAGATTTTTACTGTAATTCTATATTTCTAGTGTGATAGACTTTTTAAATATCTTTAATAGACACTTTATTGAAATAATATTAATATGAGGTATCTCTTTTTTGAGTGGGGAATTATAATATCTCTCCACATCTTTCAGTGGCTTTAAATTTTCTCTCAAAACAACTCAGTCTAGTCTTTATCTCTTACTGACTTCCTTAATTAGAATCCTCCGTCCTTATCCTTGCAGTTCATAATCCCTCCATCAGAATAGCAAATCCACTTGTCCCTGTACACACACTTATTTTACCCTCTTTTGATTCTCGTTTGTAGAATATAAGTCTTCCCTGGCCTTGTTCTCTTGAAGTTTTCTCTTCTTGCCATTCTGCCTGTGTCCCTCTCCAGCTCACAGGCAAAGGTGTTTTAACCCTCTGAGTTAGATTATTTCAAGTATTGGATTATTTTTTAAAAAACAAAACATGTGTAAGGTGTTGAGTTAGAACATAGCCTCCTTATTCACACACACACACACACACACACACACACACACACACACACACACACACACACTTCTTTAACTGGTGACTTTAGGCAAGTTTCTTAAGTAGCTTTTTATTGTTACCCTTTTCTAAGGGAGGTGATGCAAAACACCGTTATTGCTGGAACCAATCGCTCTGAACTCATGTGAGAGTGGGCTCTTTATCATTTTTTTTTCTGAGCCTCACTTTTTCCTCTGCAAAATGGGATAATACTAGAGACATTTTTGGTGAGGTTCTGTGTGACATAAATAAATTAATATAGAACAGCTACATATTATGTTCTAAATGAACGCTAGCTTCTACTATTATCTGATAAGGTTTTCACAGTAACCAAATTGGATTACTTATATGAAAATGACAAATCTAGACATAGTTTTGATTTAGCGAGGAGAGCCCAATTTAAATATCTGGTTTCTAGTGCTTAATGTGGTTCAATTAATTACCTTTCCTGGATCTCAGGTTTTTCAATAGAATAGGAAAATGGACCTACCAAGTCTCATGGGACTGATGATTTTTATCAATTTTGTGAGAATCCCTTCTTAAAGTATTAGTTTTTAACCATAAAATTTTCTTTCCTATAAAATACTTATCAACATTGCATTTTCATATAATTGGAGCTGCTTGTAGAATATTGTATTTTTAAATATATTTTTTTAAACCTATATCCATATTAAATGGTAGACTCTTGAAGGAAAGGTGACATGTTTCAACTTATTGTTTTAATATTCAAAATATACAGCAGGAAGAGGCACAAGACATAGTTCCTAGAATCAAAAATAGTTATTAAGTTATTTAGGAGTTAGTTATTTTGTTTATTTCTAAGAAAAGCAAATGCTAAAAAGTAAAGAGATTTTTAGTGTATTAATTGCACAGGCTTTAAAATATAAATTTTATTTTAATAAGATTCTCTTAAAAAAACAAAACAAATGTTGTTTTTCTTCAGAATAGAAGAAAATGGCATATATATTCTAAGAAAAATGTAGAATGAGATGCAAAGCAATATGCTTATTTTTTCTAAGTTACTGGTTTTGGGTGGCTGCAGTATGTACTAATGCAGAATGTACAATTATGGTGGGATATTTTGTTTGTAGTGTTTGACTTGTCATACATTTGTAACTATTTGTGTTAAAGTTCAGGTAGGTCCTTCAGTTAACTAATATTCTTAAGAAAAGCCAGTTGTTAATAAATCTGAGGCTATTAGAGATTTGCCAAAACTTGCTACATTTCTGCACAAATTTGCAGTCTGCTCTTAAGCATTTTGTGTGCCTAGATTTTAGTGGATTTCCAGCAGTCTCCGTTGCATTACATCTCAGCTGTTAGTCGCACATACCATATTTGGATACATATACTTATACTATATTTGGGAGAATCAGTGATGGTTGAAGGATTTCTTTCCTTTTGCATGTGTATGCTCATAGAGATCATTCAGTATCAACATTACTGTGTAGGTAAGTAAACTCACATAATTAAATTAAAAAAAAAATAGTGAGGGAAACATCTCTAACATCCAATTTTTATTGCCAGTTCTGTCTTCTGAAAAGTTTAGTAATAGAGGGCATGCCTAGTAGTACAATAGAATTTTTTCTCTCAAATATACCCCCAAGAATTAGACATTATATCATTTTTGTTACCAATTAAGATAGTTTCTACCAAGTGCTAATTTATTCTGCTTAACACTGGAAGCTGTTGTTCGAGTATATAAAGTTCATAAAGGGCTATGATGGCAGTTCAGAATCCAGTGCACTGATGGTTTTTGAAATATGCTATTAGAAATAGGTTGTTTATTTGTTTGTTTACTTATTTATACTGGTTCTACAGCTTGAATTTAGGGTCTGGACATAATCCCTGAGGTTCTTTTTTTTTTTTCCTCAAGGCTAGCACTTTTCCACTTCAGACACAGCTCCACTGCCAGTTTTTGTTGTTGTTGTTGTTTTCTGGTTAATTAGAGATTAGAGTCTCATGGACTTTCCTTTCCAGGCTGGCTTTGAACTATGATCTTCAAATCTCAGCCTCCTGAGTAGCTAGGATTACAGGAGAGAGCAACCAGACACAACTTATTTTGTTTTTAATGATTCGAGTGGTAGTAATGACTTCCTGACATCTTCTGGTATATTTCTTGATTCTTTGGAACCATTTGTTGTTACATAGTATGATATGACACAAGGTATTCTTTAAAATTTTTTATTTTTTATTTAGGTAGTTGTGCAAAAGGGTTCATTTCAACATGTCAGCTTCTGTGTACAATGAATCCTGATCAATGTCACCCCTTCCATCCTTCTCCCCCATCTCTCAAACCCACCCATTCCCTCAAACTACCTGGTTCAGTTTTCATATTGAATATGATGATAGGACCATTCCTTTCTCTTACCAGCTCCTCCCTTTCCTTGACCTCCAAAGATAAGAAATTCTCACTTTACATTCTATGTCATAAATGTGTGTCATAAATGCTGTGACTGTAACTTTAATTCAGGGCCTCATGTTGCTTGGCTTTTTGCTCAAGGCTGGCATTCTACCACTTGAACCACATCTCCACTTCCAAGTTATTGTTTTGGTAAAATATAAATTGCATTATAAACTTTTCTATTTTATTATTATTTTTTTTTGGTCCGGTCGTGGGGCCTGAACTCTGGGCCTGGGCACTGTCCCTCAGCTCTTCAGCTCAAGGCTGGCGCCCTACCACTTGAGCCACAGCGCCACTTCCGGCTTTTTTCTTTTTGCTTGTGTGGTACTGAGGTATTGAACCCAGGGCCTCAGGCTTGCAAGGCAAGCGCTCTACCACTGAGCCACCTTCCCAGCCCTGCATTATAAACTTTTCATAGTAAATGATACTACAAATATATTTTACCTTCACTCCATTGCCAATGTTAAAAATGTTTTCTTTAATATATCAATAAAATGTCATTGTGTAGTTAAATAATTTTGTTTTTAGTTAACTAGTTCTATTAATTTCCAAATTGGTAATATTAACAGGACATGAATCAGGACTTTAAAGAACTGGGAGAGTCACAAATTTAAGACTGGGAGAGTCACAAACTTAATTTTTACTACTTCTAAGTTTGGGGCAACCAGGTAGATAAGATGTGATGGTAATTTATCAACCTCAGGGTTATTTGTTTTGAATTAAGCTGTTCTCCTTGTGTGTGATTGATTGGGTGATTTGGGACTAATTGGGTAAATTATTATCTCAAGATTTCTTGGCTGAAACAATATTTTAGGA